CCCCCCGGCCCCGCCCACCCCGCCATCCGCGCCCCGCCCACTCTCTCCCCCCCGTATCCCCGCCCACTGGCCCCGTAGCTCCTCCTCCTCCCTCCCCCCCGTGTCCCTTCAGCCCTCCTCTCTCCTTCCTCTTATCTCCCTCTCTTTCTCTCCTCCTCTTTCCTTTTTCCTTCCCTCCTTCCCTCCTCCCTCCTTCCTCCCTCCTCTTCCTCACTGGATTCTTCCTGTCGGACGGCGCAGGAAATCACCACACGGCGGCGCTCTCTTTTATTTAAGCCCACGTCTCTTCAAACAGGACTTCATTTCCCACGATGCCCCTCTCCTCTCTCTCTCTCTCTCTCTCTCTCTCTCTCTCTCTCTCTCTCTCTCTCTCTCTTTGGCCTGACTCCGCCCCCTGTGACCTGACTCCGCCCCCCCGGCCTGACTCCGCCCCCCCGCCCACCCGGATACAGACGCGTCGAGCCGAACGGTGGAAGCGACTCGGCCTCGCGGCGCTTTACTTTGGAACGGACTTCATTTCCCATGATGCTTTGTGACAAAATGGCTTCTTTCTAAAACAGCAAAAGTCATAAGTTTTTTCTTTTTATTAAATGCTTAAATTTATGTGGAAAACTTGTATGAGCCCGGAACACAAGGCTTTATTAAAACTAGTGACAAAAACCTCAACACGCCTCAAACTCTTTATTTATTTATTTATTTATTTATTTATTTATTTATTTACTCTTTACGTTTTCACCTTTTCAAACTGTGTCAGTTCTAAAATGGAGGCGTCAGAGTTTAAAATGACTCGTTTATTTATGAGGAGAAATGATGATAAACTTGGTTCTTTGATAACAGTGATGGGAGTAATAGATTACATGTACCAGAGTAATCAGAGTACAAATGATGAGTAACTGTATTCAGTTACATGAGTAACTGTATTCAGTTACAGTTACTGTTTCAGTGAGTGGGAATTGGATTACAGTTACTTTGGTTGAAATAAATGGATTTTCCTGATTTTACATTTTGGGCTAAATCTCCCTTTTTTTTTTCTTTTTTTTTTTACGTAATTCCACTCATTTCCAAACCAGGTCTAAACCAGGACTAAACCAGGTCTAAACCAGGACTAAACCAGGACTAAACCAGGGACTAAACCAGGTCTAAACCAGGACTAACCACTAAACCAGGACTAAACCAGGACTAAACCAGGACTAAACCAGGTCTAAACCAGGACTAAACCAGGTCTAAACCAGGACTAAACCAGGTTCTAAACCAGGACTAAACCAGGACTAAACCAGGACTAAACCAGGCAGGACTAAACCAGGACTAAACCAGGACTAAACCAGGACTAAACCAGGACTAAACCAGGACTAAACCAGGACTAAACCACTAAACCAGGACTAAACCAGGTCTAAACCAGGACTAAACCAGGTCTAAACCAGGACTAAACCAGGTCTAAACCAGGACTAAACCAGGAGGTCTAAACAGGACTAAACGAGGACTAAACCAGGTCTAAACCAGGACTAAACCAGGTCTAAACCAGGACTAAACCAGGACTAAACCAGGTCTAAACCAGGACTAAACCAGGTCTAAAACCAGGACTAAACCAGGTCTAAACCAGAAACTAAATCCTGCTGTGTGGACGTGTTTCTTCGTTTTTCTATCAATAATATTTTTAATTTGGTTCAGTAAAGTTTGGACTTTTTATTTTCTTTTATCAGACAAAACTTCTTATGTGAAGATTTCCTCGTCTTTGTTTCTCTACAGCAAATCAAGTAATCCAAAGTAATCAGATTACATTACTCACTTTAAGTAATTTAATGGATTAAGTTACAAACTACATTTTGGGATATGTAATCTGTAATCTGTAGGGGATTACATTTTAAAAGTAAACTTCCCAACACTGTTTGATCGACTCTGACCCGTTTAAAGTCCATGTGATGTAAAATAACTCTTCACATTCACGTCGTTCACTGTAAACCTGAATAAATGACCAGAACTAGAGACGGGGATTTGATGAAATTTACTTAATCGATCATTGGGAGAATTAACGATCGATTATCGATTAATCATGAACGTTTTTCTATTAAAATGATCATCATTATTATTACTATCTGCACTAATCTGCATCAATAAATTCAACTTTACGACATATAAACATAACGACTCTAGATCCACATCAGCTGTTTGACATTATAATGTGTTTAATTCAGTTTTGTTCAAATCTCACAGAAACAAAACTTAAAACCACATCACTAATTTACATAAACTAAGTGAAGATAAAACTCCAGCTCTTGTGTCGCTGATGTGGTTCAACTTGTGTTGGATTAAAAGACATGACTCAGGTGAATACAGGTCAGTGTGACCAGATTTGTGTTTGTCAAAACCAGGACAGCGTACGGGGGGAGGGGCGGGGCCTCGTCATCCACATTGAGCGACTCTCACCTGGAAAAACTTTTTCCCACTGGACACAGAAACATATGTGCTGCTTTATCCACTGTGCACATGGACTCACACTTGTCCCAACGCAACGGAAAGTGTGGAATTTCTTCTACAAATCCTGGTTAAATCCACATTTGTGCTTCGGTTCGTTACAGACTGACCCACTGTTTGTGTCTCGCTCCTTCTGATGCAGAGACACATGTACACACCTGTTTGGTCACGACACACACACATACATTCAGTTTGTCCAGTAAAATGAACGGAATCCATGAAATTCTTAATGATCAATTATCGATTAATCGATTAATCGTGCCCATCTCTAGTTGCTGCTCTTTTTTTTTTTTTTCCAGTTTTTGAGATCAGATCTTTACAAACTAACTGAAGCTGAATATTTGACAGAATGAACATTTCTGACCAAATCTCACTGTTGTGAGTTTTCCTGTGGACGGTGCAGAGTCTCAGTCCAGGTTTGATCTTTTTGGTTCCTTCTTTGGCTCCTCAGTTCCTCGGTTCATTAATCGACTAATCGTGTCCATCTCTAACCACAACCAAAAAAACTTTAATTTAACCTCAATTATTTTAAGTTGATGAATTTAAAAGTCACAGTCTTCAGAACTTAAAAGGTTGGGTGGTTTTCTACTTGTTCTTTTTGTAACGGCTGAATTCAAAGTTCTCGTTCAGATCAAATATCAAATCATCGAATAATAATAATAATCAAATATTTATAGTTAGAGTTTTTAAACCACTGCAATAATTTAATTCAATTTTAGTTTTCTGTGTTTTAATCCATGATTTTTGTTCCCACATTGAACTCACAATCACACATCATGTTCAGTGTTGTGGAGTAACAGATTACATGTACCAGAGTAATCAGAGTAACTGTATTCAGTTACAGTTACTGTACTTCAGTGAGCAGAACATTATTAACACAGAACAAAGAACTTCTGCTGTCACTTTGTTTAAATGTTTCTGTGAAAATAAACGCATCATGAATGTGAGACTCTGGTCCTGGTTCAGTTCAGACTCAAACCTCCATGTTTGTTTCCCAGTGGGAAGTGAAACAAAGTGGATCTTTTCAAGTCTTTTGAACCATTTCACTTTTGTTTCTGGTTCTGATATTGTCATATTTTAGTTTTGGGATTCGGACGTCGTCATTGTGTGATTGAAAACGACTCGAGAAACATGTTTGTGAACTTCATAAATGTAAAAGTGAATCAGATGTGTGTGACTCAAACCTCTGTTCAAACTGTTTCTCTTCCCAACAGAATTGAAAAACAGTGAAAGGTGAAGGTGATGAGCAGGATTGATCCACAGGAAGAAACAAGAAGGAAACATTTGTCTGTGTTAAACACGTGACTCTGATCAAGACGTTTATGAAGAAACCAGATCCTCAGTTTCACAGACAAAATCCAAACATCATCAAGACAAAAAAGAACCAGAAAAGATCTGGAGCTGCAACAAGAACAAGAACAACTGCATCTGGACCAATGAGCAGGTTCACACCTGGATCTGGTCTTGGATCTTGGTCTTGGTCTTGGATCTTGGATCTTGGTCTTGGATCTTGGATCTTGGATCTTGGTCTTGGTCTTGGATCTTGGTCTTGGTCTTGGTCTTGGATCTTGGTCTTGGTCTTGGTCTTGGATCTTGGTCTTGGATCTTGGATCTTGGTCTTGGATCTTGGTCTTGGATCTTGGTCTTGGATCTTGGATCTTGGTCTTGGGTCTTGGATCTTGGTCTTGGATCTTGGTCTTGGTCTTGGATCTTGGTCTTGGATCTTGGTCTTGGTCTTGGATCTTGGTCTTGGTCTTGGATCTTGGATCTTGGTCTTGGATCTTGGTCTTGGGTCTTGGGTCTTGGTCTTGGTCTTGGATCTTGGTCTTGGTCTTGGTCTTGGTCTTGGTCTTGGATCTTGGTCTTGGGTCTTGGTCTTGGTCTTGGATCTTGGATCTTGGTCTTGGATCTTGGATCTTGGTCTTGGTCTTGGTCTTGGATCTGGTCTTGGGTCTTGGTCTTGGTTTGTCTTGGATCTTGGTCTTGGATCTTGGATCTTGGTCTTGGTCTTGGTCTTGATCTTGGGTCTTGGTCTGGTCTTGGTCTTGGATCTTGGTCTTGGGTCTTGGTCTCTGGATCTTGGGTCTTTGGATCTTGGTCTTGGATCTTGTCTTGGTCTTGGTCTTGGATCTTGGGTCTTGGGTCTTGTCTTGGTCTTGGTCTTGGTCTTGGTCTTGGTCTTGGTCTTGGTCTTGGATCTTGGTCTTGGATCTGGTCTTGGATCTTGGTCTTGGTCTTGGATCTTGGTCTTGGTCTTGGATCTTGGTCTTGGTCTTGGTCTTGGTCTTGGATCTTGGTCTTGGTCTTGGTCTTGGATCTTGGTCTTGGTCTTGGGTCTTGGATCTTGTCTTGGGTCTTGGTCTTGGTCTTGGATCTTGGTCTTGGTCTTGGTCTTGGTCTTGGATCTTGGTCTTGGTCTTGGTCTTGGGTCTTGGTCTTGGATCTTGGTCTTGGGATCTTGGTCTTGATCTTGGTCTTGGATCTGGTCTTGGATCTTGGTCTTGGTCTTGGTCTTGGTCTTGATCTTG